GTCAGACCGGGCGTGACGACGCCGCCGCGAATGTCGAGCTCCGAGGCGGGCGACGCGCAGGCCGACGCGCAGTCGTCGCCGTGGCCCTGGCAGGTGACCTTGCCGCCCTCGACGACGACGACGCCGCCGCCCGAACCGAGATCGACGGCCTGGATCGACGTGTACCTGCTCGCGCCGTCCTGGCCCGCCTTGGCCTTCGAGTAGACCTTGGACACGTTGCGCAGGACGGTGCATCCGGCGACGGCCTCGCGCGCCGTGGGGAACGGATCGGTCTGGTAGGTGAGGATGGCCTCGGTCGACGCCTTGACGCGCTCGATGGCCTCGGTGTAGTTGGCCGAGGCGGGGGCGGGCGGGGCGGCCTTGCGTCCGCGCCGCTCGGCGTCCTCGGGGAAGAAGGGCGCGGGGACGTGGGCGTCGCGGCCGAGCTGCGGGATGCCGTCGACGACGACCTCGGCGGGCGTGGCGCCGATGGCGAGCGGGTGGTTGTTCCAGATGACGAGGTCGGCGTCCCAGCCCTTGCGCACGTAGCCGAGGCGGTGGCCCAGGCCGAGCTTCTCGGCCGGCGCCGTGATGACGGAGCGCATCGCGACCGACTCCCGCAGGCCAAAGTGGTGCGCCTGCGCCGCCTGGTTGAGGATGCGGCGCGAGTCGGTGACGGGGTGGTCGCTCTTGTAGATGGGGACGATGCCGTACGAGTCCAGGATGGCCCCCGCCAGCGGCGTGCCGGCGTAGCTCTCCTGCTTGTAGTAGTGATTGGCCTGGAAGATGCTGATGGCGGGCGTCGAGTTGCCGTAGGTCTTGCGCAGCAGTTCGGGGATGAGGTAGGCCGACTGGGCGTGGTGGAACGAGGCGATGGGGAACTTCCACTCGTGCGAGTGGCGGATCATGGCGTCAAAGTCGGCCGACGTGTAGATGTGCGTGTTGAGCAGCAGCTTGCCGCGGAGCAGGTCGACGAGCGCCTCGAGGCGGAGGCTGTCCGGGAAGGTGGCGTCGGCCTCGGCCATGGGCGCGGCGTCGGCGCCGTGGAGCGCCGCAAACGACTGGGCCTTGGCACAGAAGGCGTCCTGCTGGTTCTTGAGCGTCGTGGCCTCGTCAAAGATCTGGCGCATGTCCCACGCCTCGTCCATGCGCGTCTTGGAGTAGACGCGGCGCGGGTTCTCGCCGTAGGCCATCTTCATGTGGCGGAAGCTCGAGCTGCTGTCGTTGCGCGCCATGCCCGTCTGCAAGAGCTCCCTCTCGGTGTCGGCCGCGCTCAGCGATGACGAGTTGCTGCGGGCCGGACCGAGGCGGGTGAGCGACGTCGGAGGGTCGATGATCCGGTCCGAGGGGATGTGTGTCGAGACGGGGCGGTACTTGATGGGGAAAGCCTGGCCGCCCATGCTGTTGGCCGAGCCGGGCAGGACGAGGCCGGCGACGACGCCGCCGGCGATCGACGTGCGGAACGCCGTGTCCTGCTGGTTCATGGCGTCCGCGGTCCGCAGCCACGGGTTGATGTTTGCGCCGATCGACTGTGCCGAACGGGGGCCGCGCAGAGGTAGGAACAGGGGGAAGGGTCGGCAAGTGTCAGCGAGCGCTCGGTAGGACCGCGCTGAACACTGATACAACAACCGAAGCGATTCTGCTGCCCTTTCGAGGCGCTGGCCGGCGGAAGCAGAGCGCCAGGGCGGCAAAGCGATACGGCAGACGGGCTGGTCGGACAGCGGCCAAAGCTCTCGCGCAGCGCTGCTGGACTCACGTTGGTGTCCTCGGTGGCGCTGAGGCTGGGCGTGTTGCTGATGGCGAGGTGGACGTGCATGTCGACCAGGCCGGGCGTGAGCCAGCGTCCGGCGGCATCGATGACCTCGACGTCCTTGTCGGCGTGCTGGCGATCGGCGGCGTGGCTGGTCTTTTCGATCTTCTGGATGATGCCCTTGCTGACGTGGACGTCGTATCCCTCGAGCACCTGGGTGCCGTCATCCTCGCCGGTCCAGATGGTGGCGTTGCGGACGAGAATGTCGCGGGTGCCCTTTTCGAAGCGGTCGCTGACGGTGCGGTCGTGGAAGCCCGGCGGCGGACCGGCGGGCGCGGCGACCTGCCTGCATCGGTCGAGGGAGCGGGCAAAGACCTCCTGGAGGTGCGGATTGGCCGTGGGGCGGTATCCGCCGTCGAGGCTCGAGGACGAGTGGAACGAGACGAGCGATGCAAGGCTAAGGAAGCCGAGGAGCGCGACAAACGTCGTCTTGAGCAGGATGCGACCCGCCATGGGGCGACGGCGAGCGTCGATGCCCGTCGAGGAGGCGGCGGTCTCGTAGGTGGGGAGCTGGCCGGCGGCCTCCCAGAGCGGGAGGCTCTTGTCGTCGCGATAGACGACCATCGTTGGCGGAGGTCCGGAGGAGGCAAAGAGGGGGACGAAGGAGGGGGGGAGAGGATGGCGAGCAGGTCGAGGGAGTGGACCGCGGGCCCGGGCGCTTTAAACGACAGAGGAGGCCTCGAGGTCTTTGCAGACCGGCATCCTAGGCGCAGCATTCTTTGCTTCCCGCTGTCGGTAGGTCGTCCTTCTGCACTGACCATGCATCAACCGCGCTTCGCTCGCGAGACCACACTAGCAGCATCGTATGTTCTGTATCACGTAGAGACGCTCGGCTTTGCTCGGCTGTTGCGCCGCGAGCTCCAAGCGCACCAGACGACGACAACCGACGAGGTGGTGACCCTAGGTATACGTGATAACGCGAAGGAAGTGGGGGAGCGAGGGAGCGTCGGAGGGGGCTCGACGGCAGCTACCGAGACCATCGCAGCGATGCTCCTCCACCTCATCGGGTTGATGCCGGCCGACGAGGGGCCGTGGCGGCGCAGGCAGACGTACAGGATGTCAGGTTGAGCCACGCAGCGGGCATCTCGGCACTCGTCTAGCTTGCGCCGATAGCGCGGCTCGTCATCGCATGCTTTCGCCCAGCTGCTCGTTGGTCAGTCGTCGTCGTCGTCGATGGCGAGCTTACCAAGTCGAGGGTGGAGCGTGCAGCGGCTCAGCGACCTCCGAGGAGGAAGTGAGGGGGCAGGCCGGAGGGCCGCAGGGCCGAGCAAAAAAAGCGAAAGCAGCCAGGCCAGGGGGCCGCTTGGAAAGGCGGCCAATTTGTCGGCCAATATCCGGCCGGCCCAGCCGCGGCGCGGCCTCCCCACCTCGCCTGGCCCTCACTCGCCAACGTCGATATCCCGCCTACGTCTTCTCTTCTCGCGCGGACCCAACTCGACGACAAGCAAGGTTCCGATCCATGACATGACATCCCCACGCTAGTCGCACGTCGCGAGTTCCATAGCTGAGCAGCAGGCCGGCTCAACCAGAGTACCGTACGTAGTGCGGTGTCGAGGGTGACGGCGTACATGATTGCTACGGTGCTATTTGCTCTTCGGCGTCATCCGACCCGATGGCCTACAGGTGGGGTCGCCCGTCATTCTCACAGGAAGCTCTCGACGAGCTGATCGTCGTCGTCGTCGTTGCCATCATCATCCTCGTCGGCGTCGGCCCGGCCGCGGTACTGTACCTTTGCGTCTGGTGTCGGCTCAGGGCCGTGGTCCGACGTGGCGTCGGCATCGTCCGCGTCGTCGTCGTCGTCGTCTCCTTCATCTTCCCCCTCTTCTTCGTCGTCCTCTCCGCTCGAACGGTCCAGCTCCGAGTCGCTCACTTCAGCGTCCTCGCTCTCCACCGACGCGTGGTCATCTTCCTCCTCCTCGTCGTCGCCTCCGGGAGCCGAACCTGCGTCGCCCTCATCCTCTTCCTCATCCTCGCTCGCCTCCCCTCCGTCCTCGTCCTCGTCGGCAAACGAGATAAAGTCCTTCTGCCCCGAAAACGCCTTGCCCCGTCGCTTGCGCTTCGAAGGTCCGCCAGAGAGGAACGAGACGCCTTCATCGGCAGACAGCGAGGCGCCCTCGATGTCGTCGTGGTCGTCATCGACGCCGCTGCCCTGACCTTCGAGCAGCGGCCTCTTGCGCTTGCCGACAGCGCGGTCCCGCTCGCCATCCTCGTCTTCCGCGTCGTCTTCGCCGTCGGCCGCCGCGTCGTCCCTCATAAAGAGGTCGCCGTCCTGCATGCCCTCGGGCTCCTGTGCATCGCCGTCGGCGGCAGCGGCCGGCCTCGAAGACGGGCCACCACCGTCGGCCCTGGCGCGGATGACGTGGAGCAGCCGGCATCCCTTCCTCTCGCACTTGCCATCGGCTGCAAACTCGGGACACTCCCACGTGTGCCTCTGCGTGCACTCCTTGCCCCGCTCGCACCAGCCGAGCCGGCTAAAGTCGTCGCAGACCGGCGTGTCGAGGCCATCGGCGAGCCTGTCCGAGTGCGTGTAGACGCAGTCGTCGCCGTTGCGGCACCGGCCTGTCCGGAGGTAGTGGACACAGTGCGGCACTCGCTCCGGCGTCGGGTTGTGCGACAGCGGACAGGTGCCTGCGGGGAGTTGGCAGCCGTTGGGCCGCAGCGCGCGCGGGCACAGCGATATCTTGTTGACGTCGTGGATGAACGGGCACGACAGGCCGCGTTTGCATTGTCCTGCATTTCGGGGGATGGAAAGGTTCAAAGCAGGAGGAGGGCCCGGGTGTTCAAGATGTCACGCGTGCCACGGTCGACCGACGGACGCTGCTGCTGCCGCCGCCGCCGCCGCCGCTGCCTGCACTCACCGGTCTTGTTGAAAAAGGCGCACAGGCCCTTGGGCTTCGTATTGTCGAGCGTCATGTTGCCTCGCTTGTCCTTCTTGCGGCCGGCGTACCTGGCGCCCTGCAGCTCGCCGATCTGCTTGCCCATGGCCGCGAGGCGTCGCAGCTTGGCCTGCTGCTCCTTTTGCGCGCGCTTCTTGGCCACTAGCTCGGCGCTGACCAGGTTGCCGCGTTTTGTGCGCACGTAGGCCTGGCCGTTGATCGAGGTGCGCAGTGGGGTGGCCGTCGATGCCGCAGCCGACGATGGCGCCGCGTCAGAGGTCGAGCTGCCGGCGCCGGCGTCGGCGGAAGCGTCCGACGGGGGCTGAACGGCCTTTTTGACGAGCTTGGTGCCGCTCGGGTCGAACTCAAAGACGACGCCGTCGATGACGACCTCGCCCATGTTGTCGCCCCGACGCACCGAGGCGTCGCCCGCCTTGCCGCGGCCCTTTTTCGCGGCGGCGGCCGACGAAGCGTGCCACTTTGCCGACTTGCGCTGCTCGGCCTCTTGCTTGGCCTTGGCCCTCGCCTCGGCCTTGGCGGTCTGCGTCGCGGCGATGGCGGCGAGGCGGGCCGGCTCGCTTCGTTGGCGGCGATCAAAAAGGGCAGGCAGGGTACGGTCAGCAGAGGGCATCGGGACAGCCGGCATACGGCGCATGCAGTGCTCACGTTTTTTGAAAGGTCGAGGAGCTGACCAGGCTCATGTTGTGGGTCGTCTTGCGCTTGATCCAGCCGTCCGAGGACGCTGCTGCTGCTGAGGGAGCTGCACCGCCGTCGTTGTTGGTCGAGTCGGCGCTCTGCATCGCGCTGTCATTGCTGAGGCTTGAGGCCGGTTTCGAGGCAGAGTCGGTGCCGTCGCCTGGTGTGGACGCCATTGCCATCGTCGCCGCTGCTGTCGCCTTGCTCGCTGCTGGATCGTTGAGGATGAGGGTCCGGTTGCGGGCCGGAAGTGGCGCGCCTCGTCCTCGGCCGCGGCCCCGGCTCGCCCCCCTGTCCGAGTAAGGATAGCTAGTAGCGCCTCTGCCCCTGCCACGACCTCTGTATGGCGCATAGCCGTACGCTGGGCCGCTGGAAGAAGATGCTGCGGTATGCCTGTGGCTGCTGATGGCACCGGTGAGCTTGGCAATCTCGGCCTTGAGCGCCGCCTCCTCGTCCATGGCGACCGGTCGTGGGGAGGATCAGGATCGAGCGTTGCGGAGTAATGAAGAGGAGAGGATGTTTGGCCGGGCTCGTGAAAGAGGCACGGTAAGCTCGGTGGTGGTGGTGGTGGGCGCAAAGGAAGACGAGCGCTGCGACAGGAGGCGAGGCGTGGCTGAGCCCCGACCTCCTCTGTCTCATCACCCTGACAGCCTCGCCGCGCCTTTTCACCCCTCCACATCCTCCCGTCGCGACGGGCTTTTCCCACGGGCGCAGCTCGCCTTCGCCTCTTCCTCCTCCTCACCACCACCATCGCTACTACGCTCGTCGACGCTCGTCGCCGCGGCAAACCGGTTCGGGATCCCTCTGTGGCTTCAGTTCACACATTCTCTCGACATGCCTGCCTTAGTTGGACGAGGACGCTCTATCGACAGAGACCGGACGGGCATAGGGCCACCTATCTACGATGCGGGTCTCCGCTGCTACTGCGGCATCAGGCTGCGGATGTCGGCGCTGGTCGCCTTGCCGTCCAGCAGCAGCTCGGCGAGCACCTTGCCCGTGCCCAGCGAGTTGGTGATGCCCCAGCAGCTGTGGCCCGCCGCCACGTAGACGCCGTCCTTGCCACCGACAATCGGATTGCCCGTACGGTTGCTGATGGGCAGGTAGCACGCCTGCCTCGCCACCACCTTGGCGCCCTTGTCGACGTCGAGCGATGAGGGCGACAGGATGCGGCTCTGCTCGATGAGTGCATCCACCTTCTTGGCGTCGAAGCCGACATCGTCGGCCAGGTCGGGCAGCGGGACGTCGTCGGAGCCGCCGCAGACGTAGGCGGTGCCGTCGGGCCGGCAGTACAGCTCGGGCGCACCGGCGCTGCGGCCGCCAGCACCGTAGGCCATTTCCGTGAAGAGGCAATCGGCAGAGAGCGGATGGGCCGGCGGCGACTCGAGGATGACGCTGTGGGCGCGCGAGCCATCGATCGAGGCGGCCCCTTTGAGGTGCGAAGGCATCAGCTTGCGCGGGAAGAGGCTTGTCACCAGGCTGCCCGTCCAAGGCCCCGCTGCCAGCACCAGATCGGTCGCCTCGAGGGTCCGCTCGTTGCCACCCTGGGTCGCCGCCACCCTGACGCCGGTGACCTTGCCCGCGTCGTCAAACTCGAGCCCGGTGGCGCGGGTGCTAAAGAAGGTCTCGACGCCCGCGTCCTGCGCCTCGTCGACCAGGTGCTGCGTCAGCTTGCGCGGCGTGACCTGGGCAGTGGTCCCGCTGCCTCCCATGTTTTGCGTCGACTTGACAATGTCCTGGTCCAGCCACTGAATGGGCGAGCCCTTTGTCCTTTTGGCGTTGCGCTCCTTGAGCGACGAGTCGACGTTGACCTGCCACGTCTCGACCTCTCGGTAGCCCCACTTTTCCGCGCCGTTGTCCTGATCCGCGAGCTGGCGGTGCAGCTTGAAGCTGAGCGCTGCCAAGCTGGCAGTAGCGGCGCCGTGCCAGTCGAGCGCGAGGAAGCCGCCGGCCTTGCCAGAGGCGCCTGGGGCGGGAGCGGCCGATGCCTCGACCAGGGTGATGCGGGGTCTAGATGCGGCCGCGGCTGCTGTTGCTGCCGCTGCTGCTGTGGCGCGGGAGAGGTAGTAGGCGATTGACGCGCCGACGATGCCGCCGCCGACGATGACGATTGACCGGGGCGATTGGGACGCAGAGGCGGTGGCGGCAGGCGACATGCTGATGAAGTGGGTGGAGGGGGCGAAGAGCGGTGAGATTGTCCGGTCGAGGGAGTGTGATGTGGTCGTGGGACGGTGAGCAGGGCGGCCGTCGTCGGCGAAGGTGGCGTCGTTCGAGTCGAGCGGCTCAGCAGCGGGGAGCCAACAACGTACGGGTGGCGGCGACGCCGCTCGCAGTCAAGTTTGCCGGGCGGCCGGCCAGCCAGCAGGGCGTGTGGAGGCAGAGAGGCAGTCAAAGTCTTGGTCGTAGCCAGGGTGGCGCGCCCAGATGGTGATCGCCCTGTGCATGCCGCCCTGCGCCTGCGCCTGCCTTGGGCTGGCCTGGCCGGCGTGGCCTGGCCTGGCCTCTCCCACCGTCCTCGCTCCAGCCGGCCGACAGACGAAAGGCAACTGCTGGGCTTCCTCGTTTCTCGCGCAAAGATCAACACTCAACAACATCCAGGAGGAAAGCAGCCCCCGCATACCTTCTCTATCGCATCGACCACCATCTCGTCTCCGCAGCCACTCACAACGGGGCTGCATAGCCACGCCCAGCATGTCGTTCTTCAACGCCAACCAGCAGCAGCAGCAGCAGCAGCAGCAGCCGCCGGGTGCCTCTGGCAATGCCTTTTCCTCGCCCGGACCCCTCTCCCTCAATGACCTCAACAAGGGCCCTCAGCAGCAGCAGCAGCCAGGCGGCCTCTTCGGCCAGCCACAGCAGCCGCAGCAGCAGCAGAGCGGTGGTCTCTTTGGCAACTCGGGCTTCGGCCAGCAGCAGCAGCAGCAGCAACGACCACAGCAGCCCTTTGGCTCCGGCTTCGGCTCCTCGTCCTCGGGCGGCGCCCCCTTTGGCAGCAGCACAGCATCCTCCCAGCAGATGGGCGGCGGATTTGGCCAGTCGTTCCAGCAACCTCAACAACAACAACAACAACAACAACAGCAGCAGCAGCAGCAGCAGCCGGGGCTCTTTGGCCAGAACCAGCCAAACAACTTTGGCCCGCCGTCCTTTGCAAGCCAGTCGCAGCCCCAGCAGCAGCAGCAGCAGCAACCACAGCAGCAGCCTTTCCAGCCGCAGGGCCAGCAGCAATACGGCAACCAGCCGCAGACCCAACAGTTCAGCTCGCCCTACCAGCAGCAGCAGCAAAACCAGCAGCCCCAGATGAGCTATGTCCCAGGCTACCTCAGCCAGGTCCGAGGCGACAAGGTGAGCCCCGCAGTGGCGCCTCTGCGAACGCGCCGTATACTGTCAGTGTGCCCCTCATAGCCAGTATGCTGACACCTTTCTACCCTCCTCTATGCTTGCCTTGTCGTCAGCCCTACCGCTCGCCCGCCCGCCAGCTCGAGCCAGGGTCGCCGGAAAAGGGCGAGGCCGAGGCCAGCACCGCCTTCGGCACGCCCGCCTCCAAGTCGACCAAAGACGACTCCTCGTCCTCGTCGCGCAACCAGTCGTCTCCCGTCGGTCGTTTCAGCTCGAGCTTCTTCAACGACAGGCGGGACGACTCTGACGGAGTCAGCCGCTCCGGATCCGTGGGGCCCGGGGCATGGCGCGGCGGTCGGGGGAGCATCTTCGGTGCGGGCGGCCTGCGCGGTGGTCGCCAGTCGATGACGCCTGCGCCCAGCAGCGGCGGCGTGAATGCACCCGATACTCCCGCGTCGAGGATGGCGGGCTCGGGCGACACGAGCTTCTCGCCCGGCCGGTCGTTCCGTGCGGCCACCAGCCCCCCCAGCGGCGGGCGGTCCAGCTCATTCGCCGCCGGTATGGAAGACGACGACGACGATGCGCCGCCGCAGGAGATACTCGACGACGTCAAGCCTTCCTCACCCGGCTCCGCCTTCTACGGCAACAGCTCCTTTTCGTCCTTTGGCGGGGCGGGCCTCGGTGTCGGTGCAGGCAGCGGCAGCGGTGCAGGAGCTGCTGGTGGCGCCGGACTCGGAAGTGGCAGCGGCCTCGGTGGATCCGTGACCCCATCCGGCGTCTCGCCTGGCGGCAACGGCGGTGGCAGCAACGGAGGCCGCGCCGGTGAGGCGCTGACGGGCCGCGCCGCCGTGCTGGACCGGGCGCAGCGCACCGTGCTCTTGTACGGCTACCCGCACTGGATGGAAAAGGCGGTGCTGGAGCTGTTTGCGGGCATCGGCGGGGTGGAGATGATCGAGTCCATCGACATCACGGGCAGCGGCTCTGCGCAGGACCAGGCGCAGGCCAACCCGACGGGGCCCTTCCTGCCGTGCTGCACGCGGCTCGTCTACGAGGCGAGCTTCCAGGCGCTCCACGCACTGCGCCGCAACGGCGAGATTGTGGCGGGCGCGTGCATCGTCGGCGTGCGGTGGGAAGACGAAAACTTCCACCAGATCAGCCTAGCCAACGGCGTCGATGCCGCGCTGCGCAGGGACATCGTGCCGAGCAGCAGGACCAAGGAGGTGTTCCGCGCCGGGTCCAAGCCCCTCAGCATCCCCAGTACGGCGGCCGGGTCAGCGTACGCTGCTGGCGGGGCCGCCGCGGGTGCGGGCCTTGGCGGCGCCTTCAACAACGGCAACAACGGCAATGCTGCCTCGGCTTCCTCTTCGTCGCTGCAGGTCGAACACCGCAGGTCGCTGTCCACCTCGCCTTCGTCGGGCGCCCTCGCCCACAACGGAGGCGGGGCCAACAACAACGGCGCGGGATCCTCGTCGGCCACCCAGCACGCCTACGGACGGCCACTCTCGGTCATCTCGGGCGCGTCGGCCATGCGCCCCTCGGCATCGACCGCCTCTGGTCTGGCTGGATCGCCCTTCCGCGTCGCCGGCAGCCTCTTTGGGACCGGCGGTGGTGCCGGTGCAGGCGCAGGGACGCCATCAAAGTCGTCGGGCGAGGCGGCCAACGCGTCGCAGCTGCCGCGCGACAAGAGCGTCATGGGTCGCATCGCCGACGGCATCTTTGGCTGGTAAGAGGGTGCCGACGGGCTGGCACCCTCTCTGCGACGTCGATGCGTCGGTCGGTCGGTCGGTCGATCGATGGATCGAGGATCTTTTGGTATACGAGTTCGAGTTGTGTGGCGGGGGAAGCGACCCATTCTAAAAGTACAGACTCCATCTTTGCCTCTCCCTCTCTCTCTCGCTCTGTCGATCACCTCTCTCGATCTGTGCGCTGGTGCATATCGCTACGCCTCGCCATCCAAGCCCATACCCCGTTCGACGACCTTGTACATCTTGCTGCTGCTGGCGGCGTGTCGCCTGCGTGCCCCCTTTCGACCACGGCTGCGCGCCATGCGCTGGAGGCCCTTTACGAGCCTGACGACGTACTTGGAGAGGTAGGACTCGAAGGCGAAGCAGAGCACCGTGTTGCACACGACGGCGGCAAAGAGGGCCCAGTGGAAGGAGCGCGGGAACGAGACGAGGCCGAGGGTGTCGAAGACGATGCCCGAAGGGACAAAGAGGGCGTAGAGCGAAAAGAGGAGCAACACCGTCACGCTCGTCATGAGCCAGACTGGCGACGGTGCGCGGGGAGGAAAGGCCGAGGAAGGGAGTCTGTCGGTCAGCTCGGTCGCCTCGCCGTGCGCTGCGTCGGCCAAAGGGTGCGAGCGGTGTGGACCTACTGTTGGTGTAGACTGGCTTGCGGTAGGGATAGCCGGTGCTGTAGACGAGCGATCCGACAATGTACTGGAACGAGGACCTGCGGCAATCATCCAGGTTTCACGCAGAGGGCGGGACGGTTCAGCTTCCAGTCCAAGCGATCCCTTCTCCGCTCCTCGTCCATCGCCGTCCGCCACTCACACCAAGAAGAGAGCCGAATTCTCCGGGTTCTCGACGTTGAGGTTATCGGGATCGATGACGGGCACCTCGTACCAGGGCTGGGCGCGGGTGTACCAAAACGCCCAGAGCTGGAAGGCGGCGCAGATGGAGATCTGGCCGATGAGCGAGACGAGCACCTTGCACGAGACGAGGTTGGCCGTCGGTGCCTTTGGGTGGATGGGCGTGTGGTACGTGGAGCGCGATGCGGCGGGCGACGTAGACGACGAGGCCCCACCGCCATCGGCCCCGTTGATGCCGCCGCCGCCGCTGTGCCCGACTCCGCTGACGTGGCTGTAGCCCGATGAGCTGTGCGGCATCTCGTGGGCGGTCTGCGGTAGAAGTCGGTGGGTCAGGATGCTGATGTTGGTGGTGGTGGTCGTCGAGGAGGTGGGCTGGCGAGGTCGTGAGCCCCCTTGGTGCCTCGCAGCCTAGCAGCGTCATTGCGACAGGAGCTCAGCCGGCCGAGAGACGCTCGGTCTATTCCAGTCGCCGACTGCCGATGCGCTGCCACTTGGGCGTCTGTGCGACCGTAAGCCACTCCCTCCCTCGACCTCACCCTTTCTTCCATTGACCCCTTGCTGGCATCAATCTGGTCTCTTCCCGCTCCTCGTCACCAGCAAGCCTCCCTCCGCCCTCTTCATGGCCATCGGCTTCCACTCCCTCCTCACCACCGTCCTCGCCCTCGTCGTCGCCCTCCTAGTCTATAGAGACGACTCCATCTCGTCGTCGCTGCAAGGCTACCGACACCCTCGTCCAGCACTAGACCTCACCGGCCAGCTTTCCGATACCTCTAATCCCGTCGTTTCGGCTCCGGAATCTGACAACATGGACAAGCTAGACTACAGCCGACCGACCAACGTGTCCAAACCAAAGGTCCTCCTCGTCAACGACGATGGCCCACCGGGCAAGGTGAGCTCCCCCAGAGGCTGGTTCGGCTGCGTTGCGCTACCCCTCTGACCCTCGCTCATACCCGCCCCCATCAACTGTCCCTGCAGAACTCCCCGCACGTCCTCGGCCTGTACGACGAGATGCTCGCGGCAGGGTGGGACGTGACCGTCGTGCTGCCGTCTTCGCAAAAGTCGTGGGGCTCGATGCAGTTCTCGCTCGCCGGCCCCGTCAGCTTCTGGTAGTGAGTAGCTCGCAGCCTATCTTCTGACCCTGCGGTGCCAACCAAGGCTGACCGTACATACCCCTCCTTCGTTCGGCGCAGCTACTACCCGATCAAGGGCAACGCCGACGGCTCGCACCCCGACACGCCCAAGTGCTGGAGCGCGACTCGGAGACCGATCAACAGGGAGCGCGGCGAGTACGCAGAGTGGATTCTCGTCGACGGTGTGAGTCCAAAAATGTACTTGGAGCTGTGCGCCGAAGAAAGGCCCCCCTCTTCGCTGACGCTCCGCCCCCACCTGTGCTCTGCAGTCGCCAACGACGGCCTCGAACGCCGGTCTGTTCAACCAGGATGCCTTCTTTGGCGACACTCCGGCAGAGATGGCCGCCTCGCCAGCATCCAACAAGACGCCGTTCGACCTCGTCGTATCGGGCCCCAACTTTGGACGTGAGTCTCGAGACGCCCGGACTGAGACCATAAGCCCTTCAGCCGCGCCTGTCATTGACCCATGCCACGAGGCGTCGTCCTGCCATCGCTACGACCCCGCAGGCAACACGGGCACGGCCTTTGCCCTCTCGTCGGGCACGCTCGGAGCGGCACAGGCGGCGTCGCTGAGCGGCGTGCGCTCCATTGCCGTGTCGTACGGCCACTTCATGACCAACCCGCCGACGCTCCAGGACCGGGGTGAGGCCAAGGGTCCCGGCCTGGGCCCCGAGCCTCTGGCTGCCATCCGCGACGTGGCGCACAAGCTGACGGTGCGCATCCTCCAGCGGCTGTGGGCCGACTGGGCGGGCGAAAAGGAGGTCGGGTGCTACAGCATCAATGTGCCCCTCGCCGAGACGCTGCGCGCGCCCGACGTCTTCTGGACGCGCATCTGGGAGAACCGGTACGGTCCGCTGTTTGCCTCGTCGTCGATTGGCTCGGCCGCCCAGGCCAAGGGCGGCGAGGGCGAAGGCGGCTCGGCGCCACCACCACCGGCGTACCTGCCCGCGTCGGCGCCGGTGCCGCAGCACTCGATCCACTTTGCGCCGCAGATGTCTTCGCTGCTGCGTCCGCGCTCCCTCGAGCCGGGCACCGACGTGTGGGCGGTGCAGAACGGCTACGTGAGCATCACGCGCCTGCGCCCCAACTTTATGCAGGTCGACAGCCGCGGCAACGGGCTGGACGTGGCGTCGCTCGAGAAGCGGGCGGCGGCGACGGGCGAGGAGTCAAAGGCGAGCACGGGCACCGATGGAGACGTCAAGCTGCCCCGACCCGCGCCCGTCGAAGACGGGATCGAGGTGGGCAAGCGCTGGCGGCTCTAGGCGACGGCGGGGACGCGCTTCGGTACAGCTCGGTACAGCTAGACGTTCAGTAGACGGTGGCTCGGGCGGGATTGCAATTCGACTGATGAGACAGGCGCGAAGAGTGCGACTCGAAGGAACAGGAGGGGATCACATGCTAGAGATACAGATGCGGGCTGGGGGTTGGCGTTTCGGGCTGCGCTCGGGATACGATGCTAGGACCAGGGCTCAGTTGTCGTCGTTGAGCAGGCTGGGGTCGGCCGAGGGGGGCTTGGACGTCTCGTTGGACTGGGGCTGGAGGTGGGGCTTGGTAGCGGGCATCTCGACCTCCTGTTTGGATCGAGCAGAGCCGGGCAAGTAGTTTGGACATCAGCTACCTCCTGGACGAGGCAACCATCGATCCGAGAGGCTGTTCGAATGTCGGCACTGAAGGACTCACGTGGTTCTGCAGTCCATCGCGCAGGGTATCGCCGCCACGGCCGCCCGTGGTAGTCTGTCCGTCTGCGCCAGCGGGCGTATCGTTGGGGACGGTGTTGGTGGGCACCTTGTAGTCGGCCTTGGTGCTGCCCAGGCTGTAGTTGTTGGGCAGCGTGCCCGCCACCTCCTGCTGGGGCCCCGTCGACGTCTGCGGACCAGTGGCCGAGGCGGCGTTGCCGCCAAAGGCGCTCTGGTTCGGGTTGCCGTTGGCCGAGCGCTTCGAGGGCAGGCCGTCCGACCCGCCGCCCAGCTGGCCCGTCGACGAGATCGAGGCGGATTGAGAGGGGTTCGACATTGTGCGTGCGTCTGTGTGTGAGTGTGAGCGAGATGGAGGCAGAGGGGGGCGAGATTGTTGGTGGGGAGGAGGAGAGGGAAGGAGGGGCGAGGGAGGGTTATATACTCGTCCTGGCCCCGAGGCGCGCTATCAGGTGCTCCCCGAAGCCTAGACGGTCGGCTGGTCTTGACTCTGGCGGGATGGGGATGACGTCGGCACAGCCTTGCTTGCTTCTGGTTACTTCGTACCGGTACCGCTAGAGTCAAGATTCAGGCGAGGCGGTTCCATAGCGAGACGAGACGATGTAAGCCGACCGAGGCCGGCAGCCTGCCTGGCCTGCCTACCACGCGCGGCTTGCCTGGAAGGTGAGCGAGGCAGGTGGAACGAAGCAAGCAGAGAAGGATCTGCAACTCTGACTGATGTTCGGAACGCGTTGGTCGTACGGCAGGCCAGCCGGGCAGGAGGTAGGGGACGAGGAGGGAGGGGATGACTGATGACAGCGGCCCGCAAGGAGCGCGGCGCAGCGAGAGCGAGGTACGGTGCAAACGTCAGATAGGGCGCGCCCGCCGTGGGTCTGTCGCTCGGTGACTAACGCAGATCTTCCGAGGGACCCTGCATGGCCAGGCCTGGCCTAGCAGGCGGCTGGGTGGAGGGTCTCGCTCTCTCTCTTTCTCGTGCGTATCGAGGCAGGTTGGAGGGTCAAAGCACCCACCGGCCGCACCGTACCGGACCGGACCGATTCCGTCCTCGCCGAGGGCCCCTATGTATCCCGCGCCGCTCCCCGTCGCCCTTCCTCATTTCCATTCTCTCCCAACCACCACCACCACGACGGATCGGCCGAACGGACGAACGACGAGATGACGATAACGCACATAGTGTCCTTCAAGTACCACGCTTCGACGACGCCGGAGGAGAAGGACGAGATCCAGCGCCGCATCTTTCTCCTCCCCTCGACCTGCCTCCATCCGGATACGGGACGACCCTACTTTGTCGATGCGCAGGGAGGCGTCAATACTTCGCCCGAGGGGTTCGGAAAGGACTTTGACGTGAGTCCAGCTTGCCAGCACAGCAAGGAGAGGAGGTCGAGCAAAGTGAACGAGGCGGACTCTGATCTCCGCTCCCCCCGTTGACCCGCCCCGTGACGTGACAGCATGCCTTTGTACTCCTCTTCCAGTCCCAGGCCGACCTAGACTACTACCTCGAGACCGATCCCGTTCACGACGAGTTCAAGGTATGGCTCGTCTCCTCCCTTTCCCCGACGACCCGTCGCCCATTCGCGCACCCGTGCTCATCTGGCAATCGACTCCCCCCTCTTTTCCCCCCTCCTTTGCGTCGACCGCACAGGTCTTTGTCAAGCCCTTTGTCGACGACCTGTTCGTCTTTGACTTTCCAAGCACCTGGAAGGGCTACGATAGCCCCGCACAGTCCACACAGACCCAGACTCAGACCCAGGCACAGGCCCAACCGCAGCCTCAGCCCCAGCCCAAGGCCCAACCGCAGCCCCAGCCGCAGGCGCGACAGCGCGCAAAGTGGTGGCAAAAGGTCAAGAGCCTGCTCTAGACAGTCTCGTCAAAGTTGCAATACCCATCATCATCTGTGCATCCCCGCGTAGGCTTACACCTCTCGGCCCTCATCGACCCGTCCCCGCCGCCGCCGTCGCCGGTCTAGCCCGACTGGCCGTCGCCGTCGTCGTCCCTGCCGCTGCGCCAGCTCGGCTGCGTGTCGCGCTCGCGGTCGAAGCAGCAGAACGGGACGACGCCTGTGTCCGGCCCTTGTCCTCGACCTCTGCCTTCCTCTCCTTTCCCCTCTCCCTCTCGCCGCGACCCCCCTTGTCCCGGGACGACACGCGGTTCGTGGCATTGTCCAGCACCCTCGCATCTCTCGCCTCGTCGCGCAGCCTCTTCTCCCCGCGCGCCTTCTCCCTCTCCCTCGTCGCGCCCGCGGCAGACGAGGACGACGCGACGCGGCGATTCAGGCTAGAAGCTGTCGGGGCCGTCACGCGCGATGCGGAAGGTCGTCTCGGTTGGTCCTCGGATGGTGCAGGCCCGGCAGCGGCGGTCGGGGCAGAGGACGACGACGACGAGGCCGCCGGACGTGGCCGACGTGGTAGCGGAGCCGAAGATGCCGTCGTCCTGGAAGACGCGGCAGGGCGACGTTGATCTTCGGTCCCTCCCGATGACGGCCGCTCTTGCTCTAGTCGCTCGCGCGTCGAGGGCCGGCGGGTAGACCGGCTCGTTGTCGCTGCGGACGACGGCGCTGCTGGCGCCGTGGATGATGATGACGACGACGGTTGCGGCGGCGCGCCAACCTCCGTCCTTGACCGGCGTCCTGTAGTGCTGCCGCTGCTATTGCTGCTGCGCCGTTCCGCGAGGCTGCTTTCCGTCTCGACCCTACGCCGCTTCCTCTCGGAACCCTCCGAGACGGTGGCGGCCTCCTCGTGCCTGTCCTCGGAACGCTCCGAGATACGCCGACTCTTGCGCTTCTCGGTTGTCGGGACAGCCGCCGACTCCGCCGCGACGACATCCGATGTCGGGGGAGTGGACGATGACGAGCTGAGCCGACTCGATTGGCGACGAGGCTTCTCGACGGGGGTCCTTGTTGCCGCCTTCGCCGTAGACGGCGGACTCGACATCGACGTCGTGGCGAGTGCAGAGAAAGCCCGGCCGAAGATGGCATCGAGTTCAGGGTTGGATCCCGTCGCCACGGCGGATCCAGGTGCCTCGCCTGCCGGCGCCACAGCGAGTTCAGCCGTCGCCGGATGGCTTGGAGACAAAGCCGGTACCGCCTCCGCCGCCGGTGCATCGTCGAGCTCCATCTTGTCGCCTCCCTCATCGGCGGCTGGCGACAATTCAAGCCCTTCGATGACAGGCGGCAGGCGCTCGATCGCCGCAGCAGGCCGTGCCGGCATCTCCGACGCATCCAGGCGCGAGACCGTCCTGCGAGCGGGGGCTGGCTGGTCCTGCTGCAGCTGGGTTGCTGTCGTCGCCGCTGCTGCCGCCGCCGACATGGCTCGAGACTCGGCCCTTTCGGCGCGTAGCTTCTCCCGAGCCCTCTCGAGCTGCTCCCGATCCCGCTCAAGGGTCTCGGAGAGCTTAGCGTACCGCCGCTTCTCGGCCTTGGCCTCGTCGAATTCCCGCTGCAGCTCGTTCCGGGCGGCCTCGATGTTGGATGCAGAAGACTCCTTGCCGGCCTTGGCGCCATCCCCTTCCTTATCGCCCTCCTTGGCGGTCGGCTGCTGCTGCTGCTGCCGTTGCTGCTCGTCGATCAGCCGCCTGGCCCGCCTCTCGCTCTCCTCGAGCTTCCTCAGCTCCTTTTCCCTCCTCGCCACATTCTGCTCGGCCACCGCCAGCCTCTTGACGGTATCGAGGAGCTTCCTCTCAAGCTCCTTTTTCTCCTCTTGCCACACCTGCTTCTTGTTGGCCGTGAGCGCGCCGTTGACGCTCAGTACGGCGTCGTGGCGGTTTACCGAGAATTGGGCGTCGCCCTCGATCTCGGCCTTGACCTCGGAGTGCAGCTGCGCCTGCCACGAGCTCTCCTTGGCCTCGATGGCATCGCGCTTCCGCGACTCGGCCTCGTGGACGAGACGCGTGGTGCGGAGATCCAGCAAGGTCTGCACGTGGTCTGCGAAATGGTCGGTGGCGCGGGACAGCGCCTGCAGTGCCGGGTGCGCCGGCGCCGCTCTGGAACCAGAAGCACCGGCGACGGCTGCTGCTGCCGCGGCTGTCGTCAAAGGATGTGCGGCGGGGAAGAGGTCGCGCTGGAAGAGCGCTCCATGGCCCTGCAGCCACGCATCTGACGTCGACGCGCGCTTTTTGCTGGCACTCTGGCTGGCGCCACCGCTGCCGTACGACGATGATGCGAGGTCCGAGCTGGAGGACGACGCGGATGGTCCTGCGCCGGCGGTCGCCTTCTTCTGGCTGTCCTGCTCTTCGGCCTCGACCATGTCGAGCAGCTCAGCGTCTGCGCGGCGCACGGCATTGATGGCCTCGGTGGCCAGCCGCTTGAGGGCGCGGTTGTAGTCGACGAGCTCTGCGCGGTTCCTCTCGAGCTCCTCGACCTGCTCCTCTGCGAGTGTGGGCGCCCTCGCCTTGGCGCTGCCGCTGCCGGGCAGCGACTCGTCGAATGCGCTCGAGACGATGCGGAAGTCGGGAACGGACAGGCGCAGAGCGGTGCCGGTGACTTCGCCGATGCGTGCGCGGACGCGGGCGACGTTGCGGTCCGAGGATGCGCGGTGCTGGAGCGCGGATGCCTTGACCAGCTGAAGCTCCCTCCGGCTCTTTGTGAGGGCGTCCTTTGTGGCCTTGTGCGCGAGCTGTTCTGCCTGCAGGGCGTGCTGAACGGCGGCCGCCTTGGCCTTTGCCGCCTCTGCCTTGCGTTCGCTGTCTGCGCACTTTTCGCCCTCGTCCTTGAGGAAGCGCTTTGCACGCTCGAGCGAGGCGGTGAGGGTGCGCGTCTTTGCGGTGAGTACGCTGCGCACCTCGAGATCCTCTTCGCGCTGTGCGATGATGGCGTGAAGGGCGTCGGCGAGCGCCTCTACCGAGTGCTGGGGCAGGCCTGCGACGTTGAGCGGGGCGCGGAGGTAGCCACGCGAGAAGAGGGTGGCGTTGAGCTGCTCAAACGAAGGGCGCACGACGATCGATGCGGACGTGGTATCGGTAGATAGGTCAGGCAGTTGTGCGTCACTGCCGCCGCCGGCATCTTCTGTGGCCCGGTCAGGCGGGGCTGCCATGGCGGAGCAGGCAAGGGTGTCAACGACGGCGATACCGACGGCGAGTGCGGGCCCGAGCAAGGTAGGCTGCGGAGGCTGGCTACGGTGTCGACGGCGAGGGAGATGAAGGCGGACGTTGTGAGTGATGGCTGCACGTGTGTCGGTGCAGCGTGGCGGATTCGGCGGCGGCGGCGGTGGTGGTGGTGGTGGTGGCAGTGTTTGTTCGACGGAGCCGACGGAGAGCGGAGTGTTGGTTGGACCTGCCCCGTCCGACGCGCGCGACGCGCCTCGGCCTTTTCCTCCTGGGCTTGGAAGCGGGCCAGGCAGGCCAAGGCCTGGCAGGCAGGGTGGGTCAAGCGCCTGCCCTGTCCTCCGCTGAAGCTGTGTGCCACCACGTGATGGCCTCTCGACCGACCGTCGTCCATCCCGACCTCCATCGCCTTCCTCCGTCCATCCGCTCGAAAGTTTCGGCCGCCACCGCCCTCTTTGCCCGCCGCTCATCTACGGACTGCCCTCGAAACGCCTCGGAGCGACTGCTCACTGCGTCGATCCATCATCCGCCGCCGTCGTCGGCTCGCATCCGCTCCTGCCCTCGGCCCTCGCCCCTCATCCTTGGCCTTCGGATCCCTACCGCGGCTTGGTCTTCGAGGTATCCTTCTCAGCCTATTCACCGGCTGCGACCAGCGCCTCTCACAGGCTGTAGGAAACGGCCGCGCGGACAAGGCGACTGCCATCCGACCTCATCCCATCGGGCCAGCCCGCCTCTGTGCTCTCTGCCCTGCGCCTTCGCGCAGCCTTTCCGGAAAGGCTCCTATCGCTCGTCTCTAAACCCACTTTTACCACCACCATGGCATCGCGCGGTCGCCCTTCCTTGGCCGACACGTCCATCGCCAGCTCCAGCGGTGGCGGCGACGTCAGCGCCAGCGGCAGCGGCACAGCCATGCTCACCCCCTTCGCGGCCCGCAAGCGCCAGACGGGCCGCAAGTCGGTCGGCGGCCAGGCACCGCGGCGTCGTGGGCCCGCGTCCGGCGCCGCCGTCGGAGACGCATCGACGGCATCGACGAGTACGCGCAAGAAGCCGCGCTTCAAGCCGGGCACCGTGGCGCTGCGCGAGATCCGGCGGTACCAGAAGTCGACCGACCTCCTGATCCGCAAGCTGCCCTTTGCCCGCGTCGTGCGCGAGATTGCAAACACGTTCATCACCAATTACCAGGGCGGCGGCGAGTTTGTCGGGCTGCGGTGGCAGAGCTCGGCCATCCTCGCGCTCCAAGAGGCCACAGAGGCCTACCTCGTCTCGCTGTTTGAGGATGCGTGAGTATCTTCCCCCCGGTCCTATGGACCTGTGAAGTGAGCTCCAGCTGACGATGTACCTGCTTCCCTCTTCTTGTCTCCTCGACCCTCGGCCCTCGACCCTCGACCAACCAACAGCAACCTGTGCGCGATCCACGGCAAGAGAGTGACGATTATGCAGCGCGACATCCAGCTGGCCAGGAGGTTGAGAGGCAGGTGGGACGGCCTCGGCTTCTGACGCCGCGAGCCGCGCCCTCCCTTCCCTCTCCTCTCCTCTCTCTCTCTCTGTCTGCCTGTCTGTCCATCGATACCAACGCACCGCACAACTGCGACCTTCCACTCCCACCCCATCTTCTCTCTCCAGAGGTCCCTCGCCCTCCCTCGATCCGTCCCCAGCTCGCTCCTCGTTACCGCCTCGACGCCCTGTAAAACATAGCCCTCGCCCTTCCTACCGAAACCCCATCCAGCCAGCCAGCCATTCCGCCAGCCATCCCGCGCCCCACACACCGACAATCTGGACTTCCGAGGGAAAGGCTCTCTCTCTTTATGCCATTCCAGGTCCATGCCGACACACTGCAACGAAACGACAGACGACGACCAAGCAAGCAAGCAGAGGAAGGCGGGATGAGGGGGGCGAGGGAAGGGCGGGGAGCGGGGACTAGGGCGGGCCAGTGCGAGCGCTAAAGACGCTGAGGGCGAGAGCGGAAAAGTCGGCAAACATGAACTGGGCGTCGCCGAGGCTGGATCCGAAGCTGTAGAGGGCGAGGACCGAGGTGAACTGGAGCAGGCTCGTGAGGCAGATGTAGGAAAAGCAGCCGAAAGACGTCACGAGCGCGGCGCGCCCCTCCTTGATCGTGTCGATGACGCAGCCAATGTCGGGCTGGTTCGAGGTGAAAGGCGCCGCGACCGACGCCTCGGCCTCGGAGAGCGAGATGCCGATATCGGCCGCCTTGAGCGCGCCGCAGTCGTTGGCGCCGTCGCCGCACATGCCCACCGCTGTTCGGTGCGGGGGCCGAGCAAGGCGGGCCGGGTTGCAGATGTCGGTCGCCGGTGTCAGTCAAAGAGCTCGACGCCAGGAGGGGACGTCGGGCGCGCGGGCCTGCGTAGAAGGGGGGAGGGGGCCCCGACTCACTGTATCCGAGCGCCTGCAAGCGCTCAATGAGCTCGTGCTTCTCGTCGGGCGACATGCGCGCGAAAATCGTGCCCTTGATGAGCATGCGCCGGAGCGTCTCGACGGGGGCAAAGTCAATCATCCACCGGAACACGTCGCCCGTCAGCGCAAGCTGGTAGTCTTGGAAGTCAAACTCCTCGAGATCCAGCACGTGCGGATCCACCTCGAGCGGCTGCGGAGAGGAGGAGGGAAGGGCAGGCCAGAGTCGGGGAAGGCAGATGGAGAGTGACAGTCAGCGCCGCTGCCCCGACAGGCGATCATCACGGCACGGCGACCGCGGCGCGCTCACCTTGAGGCTGTAGGGATTGAGCTTGATGCGGTCGTCGTCGACGCTCGACCAGTCAATGACGGCCTGCGGGCTGCGCTGCGAGCCCTTGACAAACGTCGGCATAAAGACGTGCGCCGACTGCCCTACCATGCCGCACTCGCGCGCCACGCTGATGGCGGTGCGCGGGTTGTCGCCCGTCACCATCTTGGTCGTGATGTTGGCGAGGCGCAGCGTCTCGATGGCGGGCGCCGAGCCCTCCTTGAGCTTGTTCTCAAAGATGATGAGGCCGAGGAAGCGCAGCCCGCTCTCGGCCTGCTCGCGCCGCATCCGCTGCGCCTTGATCCAGCTCATGCCCGCCATCGTCTTGCCGGCGCACGCAATGACGCGGTAGCCGTGCTTGGTGTAGTACGACAGCAGGTCGTTGTAGTCGGCCGGGAACGAGTCTGGGTCGCAGATGTCCGACATGACCTCGGGCGCCCCCTTGACAAACACCTCCATCGACTGCGACTTGAGGCGCTTGACAATGACGCTCATCCGGCGCAACGACGAGACAAACTCAAAGGTCCGCAGCACGCCCAGCTCGAGGAAGTGGGCGTGCCGCCCGGACTTGATGGCGTCCTCAACCTCAAACGACTGCCCGCCGGGCGGGCGCACGACGGTCTGGACCAGCGCCGGCGGCCGCTCGGTCAGCTTGCTCTTGCCGTCCTTTGCGGTGCCGGACTTGGTCGTCGCCTTGGCCGAGCGCTCCTTGCCCTCGTCGAGCGTCCAGCCGGTGTACTCAAACATCTTGACGTCGAGCGGGTCGCCAATCACCTCGCCATCGACCACCTTGAGGCTGTGGCACGTGGCGAGCGCGTACAGCAGCGGCATCTTGCGCGCGTCCGAGTCGTTCTTGGGGCCCTGGCCGACGGGCATCTCGTCGACCGTCTCGTGCAGCTCGCTGAACCGGTGCGCCTTGAGGTCGATGGTGCGCGTGCCCAGCACGTCGAGCCCGTCGGCGGTCAGCGTGCCCGTCTTGTCAAAGCAAAACACGTTGACCTTGCCGCCGATGATGACACGGTTGGGCGAGATGCAGAAGATGCCGAGCTTGCGCAGCCGGTTGATGGCAAACGACGTGCCGATCGACATGGTGGCCGGCAGCGCCGGCGGCACCACCACCGTCACCAGGTCGAGCGCGCGGATGACAATCGTGTGCCACGCGATGCCAATCTTGACAAAGTTGACGGCGCTGCCGAGGAAGCCGATGCCGGCGATGCCCGCAAGGAAGCCAATGAAGCGGAACGAGTCGCGGTAGAACTTGAAGCCCATCGGCTTGGGGAAGAGCATGCTGCGCACCAGCGCGCCCTTGGTCGTGTTGAAGCCCGTGCGCACCACCATGGCGCGCGCCGTGGCCTCCATCGGACCACCGTCGTTGCCGCCGTGGTGGCCGTGGCTGAACGGCCCGACGGTGCCCCGGATCCGGATGATGCGGGTGCCGGCAAAGAGGAAGTGCTTGGCCAGATCAGCGCTGACGTCGGAGCCCGTCGCGTGCAGGCCGGCGATGCTCGCATTGACGATGGGCACCTTGCTGACGGGCACGCTCTCTCCGGTGAGCATGCTCTCGTTGACGATGGCGTCGCCGCTCAGCAGCACGCTGTCGGCGGGGAAGAGGAGCAGCCCGGGCTCGGCCACGTCGTAGACGTCGCCGGGCACGAGCGCGCTCGAGTCCATGGTGCGCCACGCGCCCTCGCGCAGCACGCGTACCTCGCACGTGAACCGGCTCATCTCGCGCATCCGGTTGACCGTCTGGCGCGTCTCGACGAGCGTCGTGACGATCGAGGCGAGCGAGATGACGGCGATGCAGAAGGCGTAGTAGTAGTAGTTGTCAAACGACCACAGGATGATCGAGACAATCTGGAACATGTAGAACGGGTGAAGCACCTCGTCGATCAGCAGCGTCCACGTCGAGCGCGCCTCGATGTCGATCATGTTGCGCCCGAAGATGGTGGAGCGGTCCTTTTCGGCGTCCCACGATACGCCCTGCGCGATGGCCTCGGCCGACGTCCAAAAGGGGTCGCGCCAGTCCTTGAGCATGCGCAGCCGGCCCGTGGGCGGATAGAGGGCGAAGCGGGTGTAGCGGTAGTCAAAGTAGGACAGGTCCATGAGCTGCTCGGTCTGGACGCCCGAGAGCAGCGGCACCTCGCCGCCGCCGTTGTCGCCCTCGCCGCCATCGACGGCCGTGGTCGAGGTGCTGGTCGTCGTTGTCGCAGTGGCCGTCGTCGCCGTCGAGTTTCGGTTGCCGGCGGCAGGCTGGCCGTTGACAATGCTGCTCCTGGCCGAAGCGTTCTTCGAGGCCGCGTTGCTCTTGCTGCCGGTCGCCGAGAGGCCGGGCGGCAGGATGACCGAGGGCGCCGCCTGGTGCTCGGCCTGGGTCGACGCAGGCTCGCGCGACGACGGCGGGAAGACGGTGGCGAGCGGCCGGGCAAAGGGGACCGAGGTGAAGCGCTGCTGGTTGAGGTCGCCCCACTGGTTCTCGACCATGACAAAGTCGGCCTCCTCGAAGGCGGCCTCGCGACACACCCACCGCAGCCTCCAGCGCGGCAGCCAGCGCCCGACCAGGTAGACGATGCCCAGCGTGAGGCAGCTGACGATGGCGAACACGACGCGCCGCACAAAGATGGTGCGGTAGCCCGTGAAGCGGATCAGCGTGTCCTCTTCGGGCAGGTAGACCTGCTGGCGGCTCTTTGAGCTCTTGTCGAGGTAGCTCAGCTCCTCGCTCTGCTTCTTTGTGAGGCCGGTGTCGGTACGGCCGGCCTCGAGATCGATGCCGGACCGGCTGGCCTCGGACCGGCCGCGGCCGAAGCCAGAGGCAGCGCCAGCCTCGTCGAGGTCGCGGCCACCCAGCTCGGCGTCGAGCTCGTCCTCGGGCTCGTGCTCGGTCGTGACGCGCGTGTCGCCAAAGACGGGGTCGACGGCGCCGCTGAGGGTGCCGAACGCCGAGGGCAGGAGGCCGGGTCGGTTGCTGCCGCCGTCCTCGTCGGAGGTGTTGCTGGCGAGGCTCGAGGGCGAGTCGTCGAGGTCCGAGTCGTCCAGGCCATAGTCCTCGTCGCTCCAGCCGCCGGCGCTCCGACGGTCGTCTTCGTCGTCGTCGTCGTCCGTGCCGACATCGGACCGCCGCCGTCCTCGAGACGAGCCGCGAGACACGGCCGAGCTCGACGAGCGTCGACGTCCGCCGAGGAGCGGGCGTGAGACGGATCGGCGGCTGCGGGCATCCTCGTCCTGGTCCCGGTCGCCGCGGAACGAGGCCAGGATGGATCCGAGCATGCCCTTTGGCTGGCTGGCGGCGATACCGTCCGCGTCGTGATCCTCGCCGACCCTTCTCCTGCGTCCGAAACGGAAAACGCTGCTGCTCCTTACGCTCTCTGGGCGAGTGCGGCTGATGGTCGACTCGGGCGAGGCGCTGCGCTCGCTGGCGGCGGTGACGGCGGCGCTCTGGATCGAGGCGGAAGAGAGCTTCCTGGTCCTGCGGGGCGATCGGCTCTCCATCGAGATGCGCCTGCGAGACCGCCCAGAGGAGCGGCGTCCGAGCTCGGGGCGGGCCATTTCGTGGCGCATGCTGCTGATGGAGCTGGGCACCGCGCCGGCCGTGGGGCCATCAAAGATGCTGCCGAGGTCGTCGTAGCTGCCCACCTGGCTGTCCCTCCTGCTGCGCCTGCTGTAGTGGTTTCCGATGGCTACGCCGCCGTCGGCAGAGGGGCCGGCGCCGTTATCGTGGTCGGCGTCGATGTCGGCGGCTTGCTGGGATCGGGCCCACTCCAAGGCCTCCCTGGATTCCTGCTCGTCGAAATAGGGCGACGAGGCGACGGGTGGATCGTGCTGGCGCTCGGCATCGTCGTCGTCGTCTTCGCCGCCATCATCGTCCAGGGCGGCCCTGGAAGGCAGCTGGAAGGGAGCCTGGTACTGGTCCTCTGCGACCTCAAAGGGCTGCTTGCTCCTCTTTTGCTTGGCCGAGGGGCGCTGCGATGAGCCACGTGCGCTGGGGGTGGAGGTCTGAATAGGCTTGGCAGCAGCGCCAGAGTGGATGGTGTCCGTGGCGTCATCGGATGGCGGTGGGTGTGCGCCCTGGCCGGGCGGGGAAGAAGCCATGGCGCGAGGAGGGTCGACGAGGCTCGCGTGGCCGACGGCAGCGGTCGCCGTTGTTGGCCGTGCGATGGGCGTGCGGTGGCCTGTGGGCGAAGGGTCGATGCAGTCGACGCGATGGAACGCAGTGAAGGTGGTGGCGGTCGAGGTCGAGGTCGAGGACGAGGTCGAGGTCGAGGTCGAGGACGAGGTCGAGGTCGATGTCGAGGACGAGGAATGGCCTTCTCAATGACCGGCGGTGCAGAGTGACGAAGCGTGGCGCCCGTCGCCGTCAAAGGGGGGGCGACCCACACAGAGGGGCTCCGCTCGGCCTCGTTCGTCGGATCCGACGACAGGCTTCATGTGGAGCAGTCGGCACACCCTTTGTTGCCCCTCGACGCTCCTCGCCATTCCCCTCGTCATCGACGACCACCACTCATCAACCCCCTCCCCGTCGACCCTCTGCAGACTCGCGCTCAAGATGAAGGAGGCATTCTCCATGCCGCTGCAGGGCTTCGACGCCATACGCATCCTCTCACAGGTGAGAGAGCCCTTGGCCCGAACCGCTCCTTACCCTCGTGTCCCGGCCCGCACGCACGCTCACTCGCCCTCTCCTTGCTCTTCGTCCTCGCCCCCACCTGCCTTGCCCACCCCGCACACAGATCATATCGCTACAGGCGCTGCACTACCTCGTCCTCTCGGTGCTCATCCCGCCACTGCTCGCCCTCTTCTCGTCCCAAACCCAACTCACATTCGAAGGAGGGCCAACACAGGTGGGCATGGTCCTCGACTGGAGGGAACTCGCTGCAAGACCAACCTGGGACTGGCAAGACTCGATCGCCTCCTGGGGCAGCACCAGCGGCGGCATCGGCGGTGTCCCACCTGCTGCATCGGCGGCCTCGGACGACCTCGAATGGAAGAGCGGCATCTTCACAGAGTCGGGGCAGAGACTCAGCATCGCCGGTTCTCCCAGCGACACACAGGTCGGGGCAGGTGGCGGCGGCGGCGACGGCGGCGGCGACAACGAGATCAAAGTCGAAAAGGGCGGAGAGGGCCTCAGGAAGTGGGAGTGGACGCATACCCGCGATCCAGCCAGGAGCTGGTGCATCGTCGCCGCCTGGATCGTCTCGGCCTTTTTCGAGTGAGCACTCCTCCCTCCCCTCCTCTCCTCTCCTCTCCTCTCTCTTCTCCTCGCCTGGCTGCTAACACTGCGCCAATCTCTTCCCTCTCCTCCCCGGGAACCACCGTCGCAACGCAGTATGATCACGCTCGTCTTTCTGGTACGGCGACCGACGCACATCCTCGACCACGCCCTGACGCTGCACCTGCTCCACGTCGTCATCACGTCCTACTACTCGTCGTCGCTCCCCACGTCCCTCTTCTGGTGGACCTTGATGGCCCTCCACGCCGGCATCACCATCGTATGGGCAGAACAGCTCGCCATCAACCGCGAAATGAACCGTTCCATCGGCTCCTCCCTCGTCGGAACCGGTTCCGCATCCGCCAGCAACTCAAAACACCACCACCACCGACGACGCGGGTCGAACCTCGTCGATGACCACGAGAGGCAGGTCCTCTTTGACCCGTCTGACCCAGACCTCGACGACCACGAGGCCGCCGCAGACGTCGAACAACACGAGCTGAAACGATTCAGCTAGCCTCCCCTTCCCGGCGGCTCAAGGCAATGCTAGACCTTGTCCCCGTGTGCCGACTGCGACGTTCTACCGCCGTGACAGACAGGAGCACGCTCGAGACATGCACGCGACAAGGCGGATCTGTGATGGACCGCCGCAGAGACCTGCATGCGTGGGTGGGCAGACAGTGGAGCACAATCGATAGATTTGGCCTGATCTCGGCCAGGCTTGGCTGGGCTACAAGGGACAGGTGGCGTGACGGTAGACGACCAAGCCAAGAGACGGCGAGCAAGGCGACCCGGCAAGCCTCAGTCCAGGTCGGGCGCGGATGGCGGTGGCGCCGACGCCGAAGGCTGGGTCGAAGCCATGCCTGGCGGGGGCGCAGAGGGAGCCGACGGAGCCGACGTCGCTGGAGGGCTTGACGTCATCGGAAAGCGATCACGACCAGCGTCCCGGGACGGCCTGCTGGCGACCTGGTCGTCGTCATCCGAGATGGCAGGGGCCGTCGGCATCAGCAAAGGCTGCGACGAGTCGGTGCGGTTGTAGACGGGCAGGCTCTCAAACATGGGCGCCGATGCCGAGCCCGGGAGATCCTCGCCGTGCGCCGTGCGTCCGACCAAGTCGGCGGGCGCCGATGCGATGTACTGCGCCAGCTCAGCCTCGGCCTCTTGCTGCTTGGCAGACTGGGCTGCTGCCGACGATGCACCCTCCACCGGCTGCTTGCCCTTGGCATCGGGTCCTGGAGGACCGAGCTCGGCCGTCGCGCCGCTTGGTTCCTGTCCCGACGAGGAGCGCGGCCGTGAGGATGGCGATGACATCGGGAGCGACGTCTGGGAGCGCGATCGCGACTGCGACGTCCTGGGCGTACCGGGCAGCGGCGAAGGCGGCGCCGACGGGTTCGGAGGCCCCAAGGGTCGGTACGGCTGGTCGAACGGCGAAAAGGCGGTGTCGACCGGCTTCGGAGGTGCCGGCAGCAGTCCGAGCCCGGCCTCGGTGGCGCCGCTGCCGAGTCCGGTGTCGAGCTTGCCCTTGCCCTTGCCCATCGGCGTAGAGGGCATCGGCAGCGGCGGCGGCGGCGCCAGCGGCTCACGGATCTGCCCAGCTCCGTCCTCATCAACGACCTCGAAACCATCGTGATCGACGTCAACCTGCGGGGCTGAAGGCGCCAGTGCTGGGGGCGCCGACGATCCCGCCTCCGCCGTCACAACGGCGCCGGATGCGTAGGCAGGTGCCGAGCCGCCCTCTTCTTCGGCCGGTGCCTGCCCCAGACCGCTGCTGTAGGTGTGCCCGGGCATGGCTGCTGGCCGGCTGGCGGCGGCATACAGCGCGCTTAGCGTCTCCTTGTCGTCGACGGCAATGTGCGCCGTGTTGGCGCTGGCGGGCAGGCCTTGCGCCTCTGCCAATCGATCGAGCGCGGCCTGTTCCTCTTCAAGGTCTCGCAGGACCATACCGAGGACCTCGGCAGGGAGGTTCGGATCGCGGTGCTCGGGAGGGGGCAGCCCGCGCTTGAGGTCGCCGCGGGAGAGCGCCGCCTCCATGGCCTCGGCACCACTGGCCCGCGATACGCCCATGGCACCGCTCGTCGGCGGCTGACTGCTCGCGGCTGGCCCAGAGGAGATGTAGGCCGGTGGGAGCTGCTGCGCGCGACGATCGTCATCGGCGACGGCCTCCGCCTCGTCGACGGCCGCAAAGTCGTCCTGGTCCAGAACCCGGTTGGCTGGCCCGGGCGACGGTGCCACGCCACTGGCAGAGTCTCGGCTCTGGCGTGGTCCGGCGGGCTGCTGCACCAACGCTGCGTCGCTGTGGGGCGGAGGCGTCGGAGGCGGACGCAACGAGTGCGCGTCCGGGTCGGCTCGCCGTTCCGCAGACGAGGCCGACGAGGCCGAACGGCCAGCGCGGCTTCGCACATCGGACTGGGTCGTCCCGGCCAGCGTCCCGGCGGAGCGGTCGTCGCTGTGGCGGTCGTCGTAGGTGATCTCGACCCGGTCCGAGGTTGCAGGCGGGCCCAGCGCAGGCCTGCGATTGCTGCGACTCGAACGGATCGATGCCGTGTCGCTGCTGCCGACAAAGGTTTCCCTGCTGTCGCCGGCCTTTTTCCTTGTGGGGACGCGAGCCCAGCGTGCGGCGAGGTAGCGGCCCCGACGGACAGCGGTCGACGACCCGCTCGACGGCTCGCGGTCCACGGTGGACGCAGGATCGCCGCCCTCCGCTGCGCCGTCCTTTTCCTTCGACCTGCCGAGCCCAAAGGCCTTCTTGACCTTGTCCTTCCGCCGCTTGGTCTTGCTTTCACGCTCGCCTCCTCTGCCTTGCCCACCTGCTCGTCCACCTTCGTTTTCCTGATCGCCGCTGGAGCCGTCGACGGCGAGGCCCGCCTGCACCCGCTCGCTCTTCATCCACTCGAACTGCGCCTCGTCCGACTCTTCGAGGAACTCGTCGTCCTTGCGGTCGCGCAGGAAGACGGCGGCGCCGATAAAGAGGACAATGAAGATGGCGAGGAAGATCGACGTGATGATGATGGCCTTGGACTGGAACCAGACGCTGCGCTCGGGCCGCGACCAGGACGAGGCAATCGACGACGGGTACGACGAAGGCAGCTGGTAGCCTTGGCTGACGGTGGCACGCTCGACAAGCATCGGGTGCGGTGGCGCGCCGCCAGAAGATGCGCGCGGCCGTAGCGTCGCTGCGTCAATCGGTTGGCCCGGATGTATCGGCAGGGCGTCGTCGAACGCTGAAAGACCTTGAGGCAAATCTTCGTCGATGTCGTCCGGCGACCTTTCGACCCTGTGTCTGCCGTCGTCTTGGCCAGATTGCCCCAGCGTGCGGGCGATCAAGGACGGGCCTGCTATAGGACCTTGCGCAGAAGACTGTTGCTGGAGCGTTTCGGGCCGCAAGGCTGCCTGGCAAGCACGGTCTGGCGAGGGTATGGTGTCCGTAGCGGAGGCGACGTCGTCGTCCTCGAAAGCGCATGGACGAAGTTGGACGCCATAGAGGGACGTTGCGCTGCTCTCGGCGTCGTCTGTCGCCCGCTGTTTCCCCTTGCCACCGACAGAGGCGGCGGCGCCCCGGTTGTTGAGGACGACTGGCTTGGATGGGGCGGCCGAAGCGGTGGACATGAAGGCTGGGAACGTGACCAGGACCGAGGAGATGAGGATCGAGGTGGCCCCAAAGGCGAGAGAGGGTGCAGCGGCCCGCCTCGACCGTCGCCGGCAACGGCGAGTCGACGTCGGTCCCGCCGGTGTCGCACCGGCAGAGAGTGATCGCGCTGCGAGAGCGGGACTTGCTGGCCGGGATGGTTGTGGCTGGATCGCCATCGATAGCTCTGGGGATGTGGGGCAACGATGACATGTGGTTCTGATGACGGGCAGGGCAATTCCCTGGCGAGAACGGGAAGATGATGCGGCCGTCTGAGAGGCCGTCGTGTCTTCGTCGATGCGGCGCCGTTTCGGCCAGCGGCCAGAGCCAGCAGGTGCCGGAAGGCCTGGCGAGCCCATCGGCAGCACTGAGACCGTCAAGTCGCCCGTCGATGGTTTGGCAGGGATGGCGGAGTCTGCCGCGACGGCGCTGCGTGCGTTAGGTGGATCAGAGCGGTGCGAGCGAGGCCGATGACGATGGACAGGCGGGCATGTAGCTGAGGGGCGGCGGGAGAGGTGAGGGCGGCGGGGAGAGGTGAAGCACGTCGTCGCGATGTCGCCGGAGAGGTAAGGAACGCGACAAGGCTGCGCTGAAGGTGCAGCGTTCTGCTGACGCTCAGGCAGGATGGACGCGCGCTGGCGGGCCGATCTGTGCTGTGGGCGGCTGAAAGGTCGATCTAGAGTAGCGGCGTGTTCGAACGCTGAGATCGAGCCGGCAGAGGTGCGAGCGATCGAGGGACAAGAGGACAGCGGGATCCGGGCTATGCGGATCTGGCAAGGCTGCCGCAAGTGGCGAGGGGAATCGATGTGCGAGTCAATGGCGTGTCGGAACGGGTCGGCCAGGGTGCAGTGCGATGAGGTGCGACCCAGGGGCGGATAGAGGAGCGCGGGGCAGGCGTGCGAAGAGACGGAAGAGATATATGGTGCAGAGCAGAGGTCGGCAGAGACGAGTCGAGAGGCAGTTGGACGCCTCAGATATGGAGTGGGTGCACGCGGGTGGTGCGACGAGACGAGGTGGAGCAGTAGCAACGAGAGAGAAGCGCCAATGTCAAAGGCCGAGGGTCGAGACAAGAGGAAATGATGACGACGACGGTGGTGGCGGCGGCGGCGATGATGGTGATGGTGGTGGTGGCGATGATGGTGACTGTCACGGGCGATAGGTGATGAGCGACCGGTGATGATGGTGGTGGCGGTCGGAGGCGATGCCGGACCGAGGGGGTGCCACGCCGGCGTTGCGTGATACGGCCCTGCCTGTCTGAGGCCAGGAGGGCGAGGCCAGGCCGAGGTTGCGGCGGGAGGGCGGCCGGGCGGGCGAGCGGGCGGCCGGGCGGGTTCGAGGCCTCGACACTGGGTTCGCTCTCTGGCTGCCTCTCACCTGCTGCCTGGCTGCGGGCATGGTTCTAGTGCCGGCGGCGGCGGCGGCGGCGAGGCTGGCCTGGCCTGGCCTGGCCTGCAAACCCCACCCTCGCCTCAGCGGGCGGCCTACCTCGCCCTGCCTCGGCCACCCAGCCTGCCCCCTGGCCTTGTCCTGCTCGCCCTGCCAATCGGGCCTGGCTGTGCGTCCACCGCGCGCACCGCCAGGCCTGGCAAGCCCCCCCCCCATCCAACGGCAACCCCGGCCTACCTACCTGCTGGCCTGGCTCCGACCCTTCCTGCCTGCCTTTCTTAGCTTGTTCCCTGCGGTGCTGCTTGCTTTTGCCTCGCCTCGCCTCGCCTCGCCTCGCCTCGCCTCTATCCCCTTGGACTTAGGTTGCGTCTGTACAACATACGGTACCAAACGCCTTCTTAGCACGCCGTTGCCTGCTTGCTGGCCTCCCTGCTCAGCTGCCGGTGGCCGGCGCGGGCCCTTCGGAGGCTGCTGCACACTTGTCCCGCGGATCTAGTTTGGCGCCCCCGCCTTGCCTGCCCGCCCGCCCGCCTCGCCCCGGTCGGCCGGCCCTTGCTTGTTCTGTCGCCCTAGCCTGTGGGCCTTCCATCGTCGTCGCCCTGCTCGCCGCCGGAACGGCCTCGGCCGCCCGCGTGCCAGGGCAGGGCCAGGCTAGGCCTGGCCAAGCAGGAAAGGGTGGTGGTGGTGTCCACACACGTTCAATTCCAGCATCAGCCTCGAGCCAAGCCCCATCTTCCCGCGGACGGGCCATCACGACGGATGGCGAGCACGCACGCAGCCCAATACGGCACCCACGGCCACCTTGCGGCGGCTCGCTGCAGGCCGCCGTCGGACACCCTTGCCTCTTGACGACCGACATCCAGCCAGCGCTTCGAGACTAGGCACCGCGTCGAGAGCCAAAGCCACAGGCGCACAGGCGGTGGACCTGGCTCAGCAGCGAGCCGAGCCGGGTGCCTGCCAGCTGGGAGCGAACGGCCATATTGTCATCGCCGCCGCCACTTCTTACCCTGCTGCTGCGAATGGTGGTCGAGAACGGCTAGAGAAGAGCCCCCTGTTGCCCAGACGGCGGCGGTCGACGACATGCCAGGCCGTGTGGATGCCAGCCTGGGCGCTGTACCCCCTTCCGTCCCACTCAGACCGTCGCAAGCCGGAGCCGGGCGCGTGGGCGGGCCCCACCTCCGTCGTCGGACGGAGCGAGGTGGGGCGACGTCGTAGGGCAGCGGAGCCTCGATGCGTCCAAAGTACCTCCGGCTGGCGGCGGAGGAAGAGGCGGCGGCGGCGGCGGTGGTGGTGGTGGTACCAGGGTCCGTCTCCCGACCTCGGAGCCGAGTACGGTGGCAGGCCCCAGACAGAGATCGCAGCGTGGAGAGCGGCACGCCCCGCTCGCTTGGAACGAGGCCCCAGCAGCCAGCAGGCGAGGCAAGCGCAGGCCAGGCCAGGCCAGGCCAGGCCTCCAGGCGAGAGCGCGCGTGCGGATCAACACGAACGCCTGCCCCAGC